CGGCGGAGGCAACGACCAATTGTAGGTCGCCGCCTCGGGGGCCGTCGGAACTTCTCGGTGGACCGCCGGACATTTGCAACGCGGGGACAAATAAAAACCCTAAATCTTTTCGTTGCCTGAAACTGGGAATACAAGGACAAAATAGAAATTACGAAACCCTAGAAATATTATGGGCTGAACAGTAACAGAAGAAATGAAGGAATAGGCCTACTTTTTAGTGGGTGTTTGTTTCAATTTTTTTTTTAGTTTGAGATATAGGGTGGATTATAAATTCTAGGATGATAAAAGTGGGTTTTTTTTGAGTTTATGAATTTCAATAACATTTGTTTGTTTCAAAAAAAAATTTGGGATACTAGATCCCAAATTTATAAAAAACTATTATTTTTTCGCATTTGTAAAATTCTTACAAAAGGGTAGGATGTGGGTGGATATCTAACAAAAAGAAGCAAACTCAGCGCTGAGATATCTCGTGACGAGAATATTCTCACCGCTAGCTAGCTCCCTCCTCTTTTACCCATTGACTCCATTTTTTGCGCCAAAACCCTAGCTCTCTTCTTCTCAAATCCTCATTTCTTGGGTTAAATCTCAGTCCTAAGATGAGGAACGACTAGAGTGTTCGCTAAAAATTCAGTTTGGAAGATGATTTGAAGGTGGAAGATTTCGTTTTGGGTGAAATTGATTTGGGGTTTCTGTTGTTTCAGTCATCTTGCTGATCTAGGATTCCAACCGATCTTCTCTCCGACCACGCAGGTAAATCTCCTTCCTTTTCTTTCTAAATTAGGGTTTCAAAGGATTCGATTTGGGGTTTCTGTGGAATTGATTTGGGGGTTTCTGTGAAATTGATTTGGGTTCAGTTCATACTTAAATTGCAATTGTTAGTCTATGCCGACAATTTTGTATGCCATTTGTTTGCATGAAATTGATTAGTCTACTTCTATGAAATTGATTTGGGTTCGGTTCATACCTAAATTGAACTTGATTTAGGGGTTTTTGTGAAATTCGATTTGGGGGTTTGCTTGCAGCCTTGTTTTGTTGTGGGTTTGTTGTGATAATGTTTTAGATTAGTACTCATATAATTAATGTGGTGTGTATATTTAATCATTTTGCTACATCAACTTATTGTTCAATATGCAAAGAACTAGCATAACTTTTGCACATGTTTTAATTGCTTTTCCATTACATTTGTTAGCAAAATATTCAGTATAAAACATAATCACTTCATTGTAATTAATATGCATTGACTTAATTTGACATCAAAAGTTACTTTTGCTCATGTTTCCATCTATTTTTTTTATTACAGCTCCTTTTTAATTGTTTTAATTTGGGTGAAAATCAAGTTGAACATGTATATTGAACTTCCATGTCGATGGACGATATTGATGAAGAAATGTTAATGAGGTTGGCTTCTAATGCCACTATCTCTACGATCATTTGTGTGTTTGCTTGTTTAATGAGGAGACGTAGTAGAAGGAAATCAATCACTTATCACCCTAAGATGGGGCAAAAAGAGAAGATAGATTCTAGAGCTAGGCACATAAGTCGTGTGTTCAATGGCTATAATGAGAGTTATATGGCTTATGTTAGAATGAGGCCGCGTGCATTTGGAAACCTTGTTAGCATAATGAGATATACCGGCCTACGAAAAGATTCACGGGGTGTTAAAATAGAAGAACAATTGCTCATGTTCCTTAATATATTGGGACATAAAACAAAAAAATAGAATTGTTAGGTCACATTTCATAAGATTAGGGAAACAGTTTCAAAATACTTTCACAAGTGCTTATAAGTCATTGGTCGTTTAAGGGGGCGGCACATGAAGCAAGCACCAAATGAAGTATCGTTAAAGATTGCCACAAACTCGTTGTACTAGCCTTATTTCAAGATAATTACTATGATAATATAATTACTTATAATATAACACTTGATTTTTCCTTTAGAGAATTAATTAGAGGTGGCGTTCAATAATGAAAATGTAGTCTAGATTGCATTTGTAATTTTTAGATGAGGCAGTCCATCATTTGAATGTAATCTACAATGTAATTTCATTATCTAGGTGTCTCAAAAAATGACCGTTTTCTGAGCTTCTATATTATCATTCATTTTATATTTTTTATTTACATTGTCTCGTCTCGGGTTAGTTTTGGAGATTAGAATTTGCAGAATAAAATTTCATTTCATCTTCAATACATTTTGCAAGAACAAGGCATAAAATATTAAAATACAGAAAAAAAGAAAATAGTACACACATTTTCCAAATTAGAATTTGGAGTTCCGCAACTTTCAATTCTGACATCAATTTCCTGATTTTTATAGCCATTGACAAAATATGACCGTTTTATGACTATTTATAACTGTTGGAGTTTAAATTTGAACAGGTATAATTACCCCAATTGAATACAATTGTGTTTGTTCTTTTGTGGGAGGTAAGCTCACCAAAAATTCTTATATTCACCTCTCATTCTTTTTGTAATCCTAAATTTTGTTTGTTACAACTATAGATTTCAAATTCTAAAATTTATAATGCTACAATTTGAGTTTGAACCAAACAAAATATTACAAATTATAGTATTTATTATCCAAAAATATTAATGAAACAAACAACATTTTAAAAATCCCAACTCATGTTAAGAAAACCTATGGATTTCAAATCCCATATGGAAATCCAAATCCTATAATTTTAGAATTTTGAAACAAACACCCCCTTAGTTATTATATTTGATAAAGTAATGCCCCCATGCTTATTGGAGCCCAGCTGAGCACATTTTTGGAGCTTACATTAAAAAAAATTCCACGTACCCTTCAGTTAATGAATTTCCCCTTCTATTGTTTTCTTCTTCTTTTTTCTCCAACTAGTTTTACAGCACTTGCATTGCAGGTGGTGAAATACTTTTTTTTATTTTGGGTTTATTATGTCTTTACTATAACTCCCTTGGTAAATATTTTATGGTTACCATATCATATATTGCATTAAATAAATTATTATTTAAAATTTTTATTTAATCTATATCAATACTATTTATAAAAGAATATTGGGATGTTAAAACTTTTGATTACCTCTTTTACCCTTCCAAAATTTGATAATTTCCAATTATACCTTGAAACTTATTCAATTAATTATATTTATTACACTATAATTATTCATGCAATAAACATAAGAACTAATATTAAAATCTAAATATATATTATAAACTTTAATCATATTCCTCAAATTTTATTCAATTCATTCTATTTATTACACTATAATTATTCTTGCAATAAACATAAGAACTAATATATATCATAAATTTTAATCATGTTAGTCTTATGTTAAATAAGATAAATATTTCACTTTAGATATCATGTATTATACAATAAATATACAATTTTAACATTTAAGATAATAATATGATAACTTGTATTTATAAATTATGTTGTAATTTAAGATAATTTCATTATTAAAAATCTAACATCTAATCTACTACTAAAAATACATTAATATGTTGTTTGATACATAAAAAATTCATGGAGAGGAATACTGATATATATGTTACCCTCTTAGCTTATGTAGTCTAGAAATAGCATATAGAACTATCATAATATAATTAGTAACTATTACAATATACTTGTCATAATATTTGAATACAAGATAATTCTAACCATACAAAATTCCAAGCAATATTGGAAGCTATTACATTTGCTTTTGACATTGGATGTGGAAATGTAATTTTCAAAGATGATGTGGAGGTGATAATTAGAGATATCCAAAATGGAACGGAGCAACACTCGATTTTCAAACATTTTGTGGATGATATTCAGCGATTTTAACTCGAGGAATGGGATTTTGAGGTAGTTCGTCAAATGAGGAATGTAATGGCCCATGTGTTGGTCTTAAAGAGCTAAGAAAATTAATGATTTTGTGGTATGGTTCAAAGACTCACCACCATTTTACACAGTATTTTGCAGTTTGATAAGGAGCAGCGTTTATCCACATTCTTTTGTTGTACTTCTAGGTTTTTAGTTTAGTTTGGATGCATCTTAATATCTTTTTCCATAAAAAACTATTGTAATATAATAATTAGATCCTACTAATAAATTAATTTATAACATCTGCCTTTTTTTTAACATACTAACAATGCATTTAATATGAATAGTAAGAGATGAACCCATAATGATAACATTCATGTATCTTCTCAGACTAATCAAATTCTCTTAATTAATTATGCACTAATTATTTCATGACTAATCTACTTCCATAAACATTCTACTTATATCTCAAGAGTCGCATAAAATTATGTTTTATATGGATGCTCAAATGCATAAAAGAAAGAATCGAAAGAAAAAAATTGGAGGAAGTGAGAATTTTGATAATAGAGAGGAAGTGAGAATTTTGATAATAGAGTCAGTCCCTTGATTATAGTAACCGGAATGCCTCGCACTCAATAAGATTTCACAAGTGATAATTGAGAGAGAAGATTATATTGCTCTTCTTTTGAGGAAACGAACAGATCTACGACCGGATTCACCTCTCATTTATGAAAAATATTAATCTATTAGTTATACAAGTATGAAAATTCATGGAGAGAAAAACTAATATAAATGTCAATAAATTATCCTCCGAATGTTTAGTCTAATATGCATATTACGTGATTTTGTACATAATATGCATTATGTGTGAAGCACGTGTTACATCCTAGTGATGCTAAAGAGGGATTTTCTTTTGTCATAGACAAGATTTTGTAGACAAAATACATGATACAATCAGTTTAAGAACAATAAAAACTAATACTATTTTCAATATTGTAAAATATTTGTAAACAAAAAATATGTTCCCACAAAAATTTAAATTAATAGAATTTTTAATTATTTGTCATGAATTATTTGTTTTGGGTTGGCGGGTTATTTATGATTTATCTGTAATTTGTTAGAAAATAAAATATTTAAATCAAAATTGTCTATTAATTTTAGAACCATATTAGTTCATTTCTTTATGCTAATGTAATACAAAATATATAAAATATTCACCATTATAATATTTTAATCTTTTGTTTGTTTTCTTTTAACATGTTTTTTTAGCATTACTAGTTGGGTTGCACATGCAATGCACATGGTAAATTTTTTAAATTATTATTTTATTATTAATTCATTTCATTTAAACCATGTTTCAAACATGCATATTGATAGAATTTAAAAATTAGAAATGATTGAAAAATGTAGTTACATTTATGTATCAACTGGGTGATAATAGATTGTTTGCATCCTTAACAATAGAAGACAATGAATAATTTTATAAAAGTATTTTATTTGATATACACCATTGATTTTCAATCAACCAATGCTACCTATATAGTTATATATAGTTGACAGTAGTCGACCTATTTAATCATAATCATCCAATGTAAATGTTACTAAAATAGTTGCATCAATTTTTTTTTCTTTAGTCTTACTTATTTATATCTCCTCAAAACAATTAATAGTCATGCAACAAACAATATAGATACTATAAATATCTATCTTTATCATTGGATATTTTGAGCTTCTGTAGAGTTCACTCTCAGATTGGGATCAAATAAGTTTCTTTTTAGAATGTATTTTAGATGTCGCATAGATCCACTGAAACTGACTTAGTACAGGCTAAAAATAATGATACTATAACTGTAGGCATCATCACCCATGAGACAAATGTTTGCAACCTGATTTCACTTAGATCATAGAACATAATGATTTATCTAATAGCAACGAATGAAACATAACCATGTCTCAGTTGCAACTTAACATGCTAGCTCTTTTGGTGTTCAAACACTACTTTGTTTCATCTCTTATGTTGTAATACAAAATCAATAACATGTCAGTGATAGTGCAAACATCTTGCTCCAATTGCTTGATGTATGGATTGTTAAAGTTGTTCGAACCTATTAATATTATATGTTGATGAGTTGATTGCAGAGATACATCAATGAAAAACCTACAAGAGAAACAGCAGCTTGAATTAATTAAAATGAATGATTCAAGTGTTGATCTCCAGAGCATAGTGAAATCAACATACATGGTAGGAGTTGTAGATTTGAATTGGCCCCTGCCACAGTTTACCAGAGTCTTCTGATCCTTTTTAGACACAGAATGAATAAGAGGAATGTTGTCCAATGCTGCAAGATACAAGAGAATTTAGCATTAATGATATTATTAAAAATTAATACGTTTAACAAATTGGAACAAAGAAATTAAAAGAAAAATAAATGAACCATTAGTAATATAATTTTTCCCCCTCTTCTCTTTTCGTGACTTGTTATGCTAGAAGAAGTTTATGACAACATAAGTCACCTGACTCATTAGAGACATCAGGGGTTTCATCTAGGGCAAGGAATTTCTGCATGAAACGAATATTTTATTACAGAAATGTCTGGCAAAACATAAGACTTTAGAATATTGAAATGTACGGCTTTATGTATAGAGAGAAGTGGTAAAAAAGAACCTTCAGATTTTGATAGCACTTTTCAAGGTCATCATTAACCAAATCATGGTCAAAAATACCTGGGCCTCTTCCTTGCTAGAGCTCAGCTTTCGCATTTCTTAGCCTCTTTTGAACTTGTTCCTCAGTTTTTGTTCCCCTAACATTTCTTTTGAACTTATCAAAAATTTGACACCAATCTCTGAGCCAGCATATTCCTCGGATCCTCCAATTACATGTTGAACAAAGAAAGTAGACACAATAAGATCTTGCAATTTATTTACCACATAATGCAACAAAACCATAGAAAGATGTCAATCGCATGACTTTACGATCTTATCGCCGACATCGGTGGAAGTCTGATAGCCTTGGGTCTTTGAATCATACCCAACAGCTTGAAATTTATCTTTGTTCCTTATGAGATACTGTGGAGCCTATTCCCCCTATTCATAATATATTCAGGAAAAGACGTTAGCATAAACTCAATCATTATATTTCTCACAACGATACAACTACTTACATTTCTCAATGATCAAACTCACCATGAAGCAGTAAACTTTCTGCAGTCAAAGTTTCAAGCTCTTGACAAGAGAAAATAGAGAAAAACACAATTAACACAAAGAATAAAAGCAGTAAACACAAGAACTACAAGAGAAACACAACAAATATGTCACCCATAATTTTAGCAGTTTCATGAAATCCATATACCAAATCAATTAGCAAAATCAGTAATATACAAAATCTGCAACCCATGATCCAATGCAAATAATTGAAATGCCTCCAATCTAGATGTAATGCAAATATGCACAAGATTAAACTTTTTCAATACCAATGTAAAACCCACGGTAGAAACATAGATGGGCATTTAAAACAACCAAAACGCAATATATATCTAAAACCCAACACAACGTTTTCATGAAAAATGAAAAAAAATGATAGGACCCCAGCAAAGATTCATTTTCGACAACAGGAAACATAATATCAAAGAGAAACCCATCTCAATCCCCTTGAGAGCTCTTTGGGACTCAACACATTTTTATTCTCTTATAAAAACCTTGTTCAATTTGTTCACTTCTTAATCCTTCCGCCTAAAATCTGATATTTGAGGAGAAGATTGAAGAGAAGGTTTGTGGTTGATGAGGACAATAATAAGCTTCTTGATGACAATAATTATCATATTTGCAATTTGATAACCGATAATTGATGAGGTAGAGACAGATAGAATGGATGTGAGTAACGAAAGGGGCACCTTTGTTAAGTTAATGAAATGAAAGATGATGATAACTTTGTTATATTTACAATAGTTAAAGGGTTTGTAAACAATTATCTATCTTAATTACATTTATTTTCAGTTAAATGAGTTGAATGTAATGTATTTATAGATTGTAATGTTACAGAAGGTAATGAATAAAATTTTGGAAGAACCATATTGGTAGATATCCAAGGATCGATGAACTTAAAATACTAAAACCAACTCAATCAGACGCAACTTTCAGTGAAATGGTAAAAATTGATATGTAGTGGTGATCGATGCAAAAATCTCAGAATTCAAGTCTTTCACATATCCAAATATCATACCTAATTTTATTTAAAATCTAAGAACATACACATATATAAGTATCATACCTAAATTTATCTGAAATCTAAGAAATTCACATATCCAAATATCACATTAAGCTTTTTAATGTGTTTCAGTCTAAAAATAAAATTTAAACTAAATAAAAGCATGCATAGCAAAAACAAGAAGTGTCTGCTTTTCTGTTTCAATTCAAAAAATTTAATGCCCATAATATATGACGAAGTTATATAAATTATAAATTTATATAAAATATTAATATTTATTTTGATAGATGGGAGAATCAGCAACCTACAAATCCTTAATTTTTAAGAACACAAATAAAGAGAAAAGAGAAGAAAGTTGCTCCACTTACCTGAATCACCCACAACCTCAGAAATGTTTTCAAGAAAAAACAAAGCAAATCGAACCAAGTAGGATATCTGCATTTATATGACAAAATGTTAAATTATGTAATCTAGATGTAAAATTGTATTAGAAAAGTTCCCATTATTTCACACACTGTTGTGAAAAGATGTTACTAAAGATAGGACGCTAATAGATATGCACCAAAATGCCCTTAATGAGGAATATATTTCTTGTGTACGCTATGCGTGTGTGTACATAATTCAATCTTGAGGTTAAAAATGATGAGAAGTTAAAGCATTTTGTCCTTCACAAACATCAGAAATGGATTAGAATATGTTCTTCTGTTAAAAAAATAATGAAATAGATTATTAATAAACACATATACACACAAAGCAATAATAATATATATTTATGTTCAATTCAAACATTGGTTTAAAGTCGTTTTGAAGAAGGTCCTCTTATGCAAATGTATAGTGATTATGCAATCCAAGAATTATAATGTAAATTTCTACAAGGAAAAGTCAATTCAATGTGTTAAGTATAGTGATTATGCAATCCAAGAATTATAATGTAAATTTCTACAAGGAAAAGTCAATTCAATGTGTTAAGTATATTTTAATTGAAGTTCAATAGTACATATGTAAATTTCTACAAGGAAAAGTCAATTCAATGTGTTAAGTATATTTTAATTGAAGTTCAATAGTACATAAGGTTTTTATCTTGAGAAATTTGGTACATTATACATGCATCATTAATCACAAATATATGTTATGCTAAGGTTATTTCTGTTCCTTTAAGTAATATAATAATAATAATAATAATAATAAATATTTAAATGAAGAAGAAGATAAATACAAGGAAAAATAGTTACCATCACTATGAACGCAAATAAAGAGAAAAGAGAAGAAAGCTATGTAGCACGGACACGGATCCGACACGGCCATCCGACACGCCGACACGAGGCAAATCCTAAAAAATACATAGGATACGTGTGTTCGACACGTGTGTCCGACACGGACACGACACGGCTTCATGTTATGCGTGTCCGTGCTTCATATGAAGAAAGTTCCTTCACTTACCTGAATCACCCACAACCTATGAAATGTTTTCAAGAAAAACAAAGCAAATCCAACCAAGTAGAATATCTGCATTTATATGACAAAATGTTAAATTATTTAATCTATACGTAAAAGTGTATTAGAAAAGTGCACATTATTTCACACATTGTTCTGAAAAGATGTTACTAAACATAGGAGGCTAATAGATATGCACCAAAATGCTCTTAATGAGGAATATATTTCTTGTGTACGCTATGCACGTGTGTACATAATTCAATCTTGAAGTTAAAAAATGATGAGAAGTTAAAGCATTTTGACCTTCACAAACATCATGCCCATCAACCATTTTAATTTATGACGTACCATAACAATTTGATGCTTTATTCAGTTAAAGTATAGTAAGTTTCAAAGTTGCAGTACTGGGCAAAATACTTCATGTAGTTTGTGCATAATATCCATCAACCATTGACTTACGCAGGTCCCTAATTTATTGTGATTCTATAGTTGATGCTTGTACCTGATCTTCAGGTGTAATTGTTGATATAGGTTTCTATTATCTTGAAAAGGAGGGAGTGAGTATTCTTCAGAGGGGAAATGTTATTTGAGCAAAGTGAGTATTCTATGTATAGTCGTGCAGAAAGGATTTTACCCAAAACAATTATCTTTTATAACTGTTCTTTTCATGTTACATGAAAGACTGAAACTTAATACTATACTGGGTTATCAATTATCATTGCAGGTTGTGGAATTGGTTGTAGAAACCCATGATAACAAAAATGATGATGCCATTCAGAATCTCCATGCCCTTTGCCTTGGCAGCAATCTTGAAACCCATGATAACAAAAATGATGATGCCATTCAGAATCTCCATGCCCTTTGCCTTGGCAGCAATCTTCAGGCAGATGAAGCAAGAAGCTTGAATGCGACAGTTCTTTCAAATGAAAATGCCATTGACGGTAGAACACGGTTCCATCTTGCCTTCATGAATCTTGGTTTTGAGTGGGCTGGGGATGAAGTTAGTTTGATCCATGGATACTATGCATGAAGCTTTTTTTTCTAAATTTTTTCGCGTCCATAAATTCCAGGTGAAATTTTAGGGAACTCTAGGACGTTTCAAAATGGATCCTCGTGGGTGGATCTTTTTGTACAGGATATGCATAATGTGTCAAATTGGGATGATGTGAGAGGCAAGGCTACTATGCTCTTGGAAGCTTTTGAAAAAAATGTCATTGTCAACTCCATGACGTCAAAGGAGGTAAATAGTCTCATAGTTTCATTAAGTTGAGGAGTACCTTTTTCTAATTTATTAACAAGAGTTATTTTTCAAAGTTTTGTATCCTTAATACAGCAGGAGATTGGTTTGCTTAAAGAGCATCTTCAGTGCGTATTGAAGGACAACAACATTTTATAAAAAGGCATTCAAATTCAGTGTGGGCGCAATCTAGAGCAAGAGGAGAAGCTAAAAGAAGTGCCACAGTTGAAGCATTTCATTAGTCAATGCTAAGAGAAAATTCAAAAATTAGAGGTATTCTAAAGCAATTATGATTCCACCTCATTGTTCCAAGATTACATTTCCACAAAAGCCTAATTACCGAGTTGTTGTAAATACATTAAACTCTAGTTCATGCACATTGAGTTTTTAGTAGGGGACCCTGAGTGTTTATTTGATCATCCTCTGTTGTTTTTTGGTGGCACGATGCTACTGTTGTAATTGATAAGGATTTTGTTACTGTGTCGATAGGTGTTTCCCCATTGTCTATGTGCGATGGATAACAACACATTAAAGGTCTATCTTCAGAGAGCACAGGAATCCAATTCTATGTCAGGTCATCACCACCAAGACATATTTTGGAGTTACTTTGATTTTGTTTCATTTGGGTATGAACCTCATCAAGCATTTGCCTAGGACAGCAGCTGATGACTTCAGCACTGGGAAAACATCCGGATATTTGTCCATTTTAGTATTTATTATTAGCTAATCCCGCGTAGCAAAGATAAAGATTTTGTATTTGTTTGGTTTTCATTTTTTTTAATCAGGAACCTTGTGTAGAATAATGGTAACTGGATTTACAAGGGGAGCAGCCAACTTGTGATCCCTTTATGTTTGAAGATACATGTGTAATTAAAATAATTATCTTTTATATCCGATTTTGTCTGTATTGATTTAGTTGGTTTGAAGATACATGTGTAATTAAAATAATTATCTTTTATATCCGATTTTGTCTGTATTGATTTAGTTGCGCAGAAAGGATTTTATGGTAAATCTTTTTTAATTTGTAAAATATGATTTGCATACTTGTATAGTCGTATTGTTGATCATATTAATTCTGAAAGATTATTCAGGTATGTATATGATGTTTAGTTATGGCAATGTTTGTGACAACCTAGTTTCTTTATTCGCCTCCTTTCCCTGCTATATACTATCAAAAATGATTCAGGTCTTATTTCTTAAAATAACAAAGTGGATGAAATCGGTGCACGCACATGGAAAGTTTTACTAAAAAAGTGCAGTAATTGGATGAGCAAAAAAAGTACTCAAACCATAGAAAGTGCAAGCATATTAACTATTCTAAGGTGCAAAGTGCATGGTGCAGCATTCATGAACATAGAAAGTTATACCGGAATAGTGTATTGGGTGATAACAAACTACAGAAGCACTCAACCATACAAAGTGCAAGCATCAAAAGCATTCTAAGAGGAGGTAGACATTAGGCTGTATGGTTTTTCTTTTTTCTTCATCTAATCACTCTTGGTCATCTGGAATCACCAAACCAATTCAAGAATATATTAATTAAAAATTGATACGTAGTGGTGATCGATGCAAAAATCTCAGAATTCAAGTCATTCACATATCCAAATATCATACCTAATTTTATTTAAAATCTAAGAACATACACATATACAAGTATCATACCTAAAGTTATCTGAAATCTAAGAAATTTACATATCCAAATATCACACTAAGCTTTTTAATGTGCTTCAGTCTAAAAAATAAAATTTAAACTAAATAAAAGCATGCATAGTAAAAAACAAAAAGTGTCTGCTTTTCTGTTTCAATTCAAATTTTTTAATGCCCATAATATATGATGAAGTTATATAAATTATAAATTTATATAAAATATTAATATTCATTTTGATAGATGGGAGAATCAGCAACCTACAAATCCTTAATCCTGTAAATAATTCATGACAATCCATCATAACATATAATATATGAAAATCGCCTATCTCGACGAGACGAAGCCAACCGTGAAGTCAGATTTTTTATTAGGGCATTGATGCCAGCATCGATGCAGGCATCGATGCCGGTATCGATGTGAAGTCCTCCAGATTTTATCAACGGCCGCCTTAATCCTGTAAATAATTCATGACAATCCATCATAGCTAATGTTATTTTTCAGTACTTTTCTTGATTAGTAGATTTAGAATGTAGAAACAGACATTGTAGGAAAATATCATAGCTAATGTAAATCTTCATAAGTAATTATATGCAGGTCTATACGTTATGATAATAATGGTCTTATACACCTGCAACCCTAATTTCTATGCTTTTCCAGCACACTTAAGGTTTTAATATAAACGTATAGACCAGGCTCAGTACTGATACAAATTGTTTTCCAGCACATCAACCATGCTTTTAATCACCTAAAATTTTAACCTAAAAATTTAGCTGATCAGGAGGCTTTTTCGCATCCACAAGTTGTAGTTTTCTGATAAGTGTTTTTGTAAATCTTACAGCTCAATTAATAGCTCACCTGAATTTTCATCAAGTTACTTCTTTTACTTAAAGGCATACGGCTAGAATCTTAAGAGTGCCACCCAACCAACACTGACATATTTGTATCTGATTTCAGTTTGAGTTACATTTGGACTTCATTCTCTTCAACGATATTTAGCTTCTCAAAATCAATCAGGAAACTATTCTTTAAAAAAATACTATAACTTTCTCCTTTTTTTATATTTAGCTTCTCAAAATCAATCAGGAAACTATTCTTTAAAAAAATACTATAACTTTCTCCTTTTTTTTGCAAATAGAAACCCGTATAATAAATTTCTAGATGCTATGCCCTCTCTCCTCTGATTTTGGTCTCAGAAAAGATACTGCTTCTAGTTTCAGGCTATCATCATAATCAAATCATCACACATAACTTTAAAGGCCGAAAAATTGTTGTCAATTTGATAATCTCAAGCTTAGAGCTACAAACAGAGATCCCGAACTAACCTACCCAATACGACTTGATTTCACATAAGAAACCCTAAGACAAGACGAATTATGCCAAAAGAAGTAAGTTTTTTTACAAAGAATCAAGACTTACTTGAGAATCGACAGGTTGGGAGGTTGAACGACGCCTAGGGTTTGCTCTGGTGTCACGATCGAGCTGCGATGGGGAGATCGGGGCGAGATCGTGCGCGCTAGGGCTTTGGCAGTTCGGATGATGGAGCTGAGGAGAGAGAAAGCGTTGCGGTCACAGAGAGAGGGAGCATTTGATTTCCGATGGAATGAAGAAGGAAACGAACGCAGGTTTATTTATGGCTCTTGATCTCTGATTTTGGAGTAACGTATAAAAAAAAGATAATTGTTAAAAATTTATGACAGATGAAAGGACATTTTGGGGTAGGAAAAGTTTTTCTTATACTCACTCTTTTAAAGGGAGAATGATATTTTTTGATGAACAATCCATCTTGAAACTGAAAGTATGAGCATTTGAAATTCATTACTCTCTCAACTTGATTTCAACTTTATTTATTACTGCCAATCAAACTCAATTTACCTTTTGATGAGTTCAACGACAAACACAAGAAGTAAAAATTATCATCTCTAATTCTATTATTAAAAGCTTAAGTCTAACGGAGACACGAAGCATCACCATCACATTCAACATTATTGCTTAGAATAGCATTAAACCTAAACAATCTGAAAGCAACTTTCAAATAAGTCAAGACAAATTTCCCAAATTCACATGCACTAAGCTAAAAGGGGGGAAAAGCAAAATCACACAAATCAATCTCAAAATCTAAATTAAAAGGGCAAAAACTCACTACAGAGTCGCTAAATAGCAATCTACAAAGGCAGAAACAATGATAATCACGATCACACTAAAGAAAAAAGGGCTACCAAAAATAGAGAAGACGAAGCTAGGACTAGAGTTTGATACAAGCATCCATCTCTTAATTTTGATATTTGCAGAAAGTGGAAGCAAAGTCCTAATTAAAAATCATTCTTTCCATATGATAATATTTATACACATATGAAGCTGAGGAAATAAAAAAATAAAAAATATCCACATCCAATTATTAACAATTAGTATAATTGACCATTTTATATCATCTAAATATTAAATATTACTAACTAAAATCACAGATAAAACCCATAAATTTTGTGTATGCGAGTGGCTATTTAAATACTGAGCAAACAACTTTACAAATTCCTTATCTCCTACTTACTAATTTCTAATTTCCTAATTTAAGAATATTAAGATATGATAACAATTTTCCCCAATTTAATTTAAGGAAGAAAAACCAACTCCCGCTTATCAATTTCTTATCTCTTCATTTAAAGATACTAGTATGCAAAACGTGCGTTGCACGTGATGCATGTTAGGAACCTTATGAGGGAAAACCTCTGAAGGTCAATGTTTGTGGAAAAATTTGACGATTTGACGTTGTGGAGAACTTGCATGGCAAGTTTTAGAACTCTTGATGAGTTGATTGATCTTAACCGTAATTGGTTAGACAAGTCCAGGATCTCTTCTTTGCTGCCCAAGAGAAGGATCCGAACTAAGCTGATTTCTTAGTTATTTATAAAGGATTAAGGGGTGTAACCGCCCCCTTAATTCACTCCTAAGTGGGGCTAATGAGATGTAACCTCCCCTTAAATCACTCCTGAGTGGAGTTGTGATCCCCTCAGATCGTGAGAAACGGTTTTGAAACCGTTCAGCTCGTGTTTGAACGAGTCAAATGCAAATCCTGCATTCTAGAATGAAATCTGCGTTTGAACGCAGTGTTTGCGAGCTGCGTTGGGCAGCAGATGGAACCTGCGTTGGGCAGCAGATGGAACCTGCGTTGGCAGTTGTTAAAAGCTGTGTTGGCAGCAGTTAGATGCTACGTTTACGGCCGAACATGAGCTGCGTTTACAGTGATTTGGAAGCTGCGTTGGCAGCGTTGGAAGCTGCGTCTGAGCTGCGTTTGCAGCGATTTGGAAGCAGCGTTGGAAGCTGCGTCTGAGCTGCGTTTGCAGCGATTTGGAAGCTGCGTTGGAAGCTGCGTCTGAACTGCGTTTGCAGCGATTTGGAAGCAGCGTTGGCAGCGTTGGAAGCTGCGTCTGAGCTGCGTTTGCAGCGATTTAGAAGCTGCGTTGGCAGCGTTGGAAGCTGCATCTGAGCTGCGTTCGTGGCTATGAACGCGGTGCGTCTTGATGCTGGTACGTGGGGAGGATTTCCACGTCTTGGTTTGAAGAGACCGTCGATTTGTAGTCTCTTTCTGTCAGAACATTACAAAGATCATCGTTTGGTAATCTTTGCTTTAGCTCTTTGATATGTGAGAGTCGTCAGATTGTAACTCCCGATGTTGATTGTGGAGGCTGTTGATTAGAGCTTTCATCAGTTGTTGCAAAGGTCGTCAGATTGTAACCTTCATCAATCTACGTGAAAGTCTTCAAATTGTAACCTTCTGGAAGTCGTCAGAGTGTAACTTCCATCATCGGTGTTTTGATTTTTTGACAGCCTACAGAACCCCCTCCAAAGTTTTCGAAAGTTCACGGTTGACTGGGACGAATTTTCGGAATACTTTGGATCTCAACTCTGATCTTGGAGCTGTTGATTCCTTGCGGTAAAGGATTTGTTCTCTGCACTTGCTTTGAAGGCATCTTGGTTGAAGGGATTTGCCATGTAGGACCTGTGTGAAGGTATGCGTCATAATCCTATTTCTAGAATGTGGGGGTGGACCCTGCATTTTGACTTAATACATGGAAGTGGCTTCCATGCATTTTTGACTAAGTCTTTGAGACTTGTCTTTGGCTCATCTGTTTTAAGTCTCGGCTCACATCCATTAAGCTGATGGGCCTGCAAACGTGCATAGGATTTTTGGCAAACCCTCAGCCATCAACGGATTTGATAAGCCTTTACCGACTACCGTTTGAGTCGGGCTAGCATGTGGATTTTTTAAGTCCGTTCCACATGTAACGTTGTGCTAAGAGAATGAACCCTCCTAGACTTGATGTTATGATTATGAATACATAGACTTTGTCATTTTTACGGGAAAAGACTAACCGGTAACGCGTGTTAGGCGTAGACTTATCTCTAATTAGGGATCGAGATAAAGTCCCACATGCGTGTAAGACATGGATTTTTGGTGCTATGATGTTGAATACATAGACTTTGCCACTGTTTCTTCCTGTGTTATATTTTCACTTGAAACACTGAAAGAAAATTAGAAGTGCCAGAGGTGTAGTATTAACTTGGCGTGAATTTTCACTTAGAGTGAAATTCAGAAACTTTTTTTATTATCACTGGGATAATTTCAGAAAATCTCTAATCCACTAGGGATTTTATAATGAAAACTTGCTATTCTTGTTGAAAAAAGATTAACAAATTTATTGGGGGGGTTTGACTGTTAGAGGTGTGATGTTAACCTAACAGTATTTTATGGACCTATCGCTCTATTGAAGAGAGTCGATAAGTTGATTATGTCGTCAAAGGTGTGGGATTAACTTAACGGGTTTGTGGACCTATCGCTCCATTGAAGAGAGTCGATAAGTTGATTTTTTCAGAGGTGTAGGATTAACGTGACAAGAAAATGTTGCGATTGGAGCAACTTTGTGGACTTATCATCCTATTGAAGAGGATTGACAAGTGGATTGTCAGAGGTTTGGTGTTAACATGACGGGAATTTGTTGCGATCGGAGTAACTTTGTTGACTTATCATCCTATTGAAGAAGATTGATAAGTGGATTTTGTCAAAGGTATGATATTAACGTGACATGAAGATGTTGCGATCAGGGCAACTTTGAGGACCTATCGCTCTATTGAGGAGAGTCGATAAGTTAAAAGTGTTGCGATCGGAGCAACTTTGAGGACCTATCGCTCTATTGACGAGAGTCGATAAGTTAGAGGTGTTGCGATCGGAGCAACGTTGATGACCTATCGCTCTATTGACGAGAGTCGATAAGTTAGAGGTGTTGCGATCAGAGCAACGTTGAGGACCTATTGCTCTATTGAGGAGAGTCGATAAGTTGATTTTGTCAGATGTGTGATGTTAACTTGACAGGTTTATGGACCTATCGCTCTATTGAAGAGAGTCGATAAGTTGATTTTGTCAGAGGTGTAGGATTAACGTGACAAGAGAATGTTGCGATCGGAGCAACTTTGTGGACTTATCATCCTATTGAAGAGGATTGACAAGTGGATTGTCAGAGGTTTGGTGTTAACATGATGGGAATTTGTTACGATCGGACCAACTTTGTGGACTTATCGCTCTGTTGACGAGAGTCGATAAGTTGATTTTGTCAGAGGTGTTTGATATTAACGTGACAAAAATTTATGTTGCTGAACATGAGCTGCGTTTGCAGCGATTTGGAAGCTGTGTTGGCAGCGTTGGAAGCTGCGTCTGAGCTGCGTTTGCAGTGATTTGGAAGCTGCGTCTGAGCTACATTTGCAGCGATTTGGAAGCTGCGTTGGCAGTGTTGGAAGCTGCGTCTGAGCTGCGTTTGCAGCGATTTGGAAGCAGCGTTGGCAGTGTTGGAAGCTGCGTCTAAGCTGCGTTTGCAGCAATTTGGAAGCAGCGTTGGCAGCATTGGAAGCTGCATCTAAGCTGCGTTCGTGGCTATGAACGCGGTGCGTCTTGATGCTAGTACGTGGGGAGGACTTCCACGTCTTGGTTTGAAGAGACCATCGATTTGTAGTCTCTTTCTGTCAGAACGTTGCAAAGATCGTCATTTTGTAATCTTTGCTTTAGCTCTTTGATATGTGAGAGTCGTCAGATTGTAACTCCCGATGTTGATTGTGGAGGCTGTTGATTAGAGCTTTCATCAGTTGTTGCAAAGGTCGTCAGATTGTAACCTTCATCAGTCTACGTAAAAGTCTTCAAATTGTAACCTTCTGGAAGTCGTCAGAGTGTAACTTCCATCATCGATGTTTTGATGAGGATCAGCTATCTATTGTGATTTTTAGACAGCCTATAGTCAACTAATGCTACGTACATCAATATTAAAATTTTTATGAAGCACACACTTATACTTCACATAGAGTAGATATTAACTTCACAACAGTAGTACATGCATCCTACTTATACAAGAGTCTATTATCAACATCGCCTTCATCACAATCTTCATAAAAAACAAACGTAAATTGGCAAATTCACCGAAAATGCAACTTCGAAAAGAAAATGATCAAACAACAAAAATCTCGCAATGAACTATCATTTACATAAAAAAACAATTATGCAACTACACACAAATTAAGCAACTACACACAAATATGGTTTAGTTTTATTCAATGTTAGCTACATCCATAATGAACTAACATTAGATTCATAAGCTGAGAGTGAGCTTCTCATTCAAGCTACACAATCTATACA